CTGCTTCAAGAAGCACAAATAAGAAAAAGTGGAGTTGTTTGGGTCTGTGATTTAAAACAAAAACATAGCATAACTTTGGTATTCATACAGGTATATTTTCTTTTTTTTTTATTTTTTTTTCTGAATCTTACAAAGGACGGCAAATGCATGTAGTTGTAGTTTATGAAACATTCAAGTTTATGTTTCCGATTTGTGAAAAATGGTTTCGAGACATTTCGAAATATCGCCTTTGATCGAGAGCTGATAGGATTTAAATATGTTTGCACAAAGTCCTTAAAGAGTTAAGAATCTAGAAGCGTGATCCTCACATTATCTGATTTCTGACTGGAAGAGAAATAAAAAAGGATGAATAATAAGGTGGAAAAGGGTATGGGGTTGGGGAAGTTGTGGGGAAAATGAAGAGCTGGGAAATCGAGAGGTCATTACCCTGAAGTGCACCAACATATGTGAGGCAGCGTGGTGGAATCAGGCTCTCGTCAAAATAATCAAAGTGAAGAAACTTCCATTTTTCCGCAGGTTTGTAAAATTTTTTCGAATATTTGTTTTTTTGGCTTAACTCCTTTCATGCCCATTAAAGAACTCGATTCTGGGAGGATTTTTCTGAATAATGTTGATTAAAGGCACAAGAATGGAAATTTTCAATTACCACGGACTCTTAAGCTAAGGAAATAACTAATCTTTGGCGGTCATTTTCTCACTAATTTTACTTCTGAAAACAGGTGACCCCCACCTCCTTCTTTCGCAAATATCTCGACTTGTATTCAAGATAAATGGATATTTTTAAAATCCAAAAAAAGACAAGTGAACAAGTTTTAAGATGATACAAATAACTCTACATGCCACAAAATTGACGAGAGCCTGATTCCACCACGCTGCCTCACATAATATTTTCGTGTCCTAATTCGTTCTAACGATACCTGATAATAATACTAATGCTTTTTACCCTCTCAGATAACCGTCAGGTACATAAAGACGAGAGAAGTCAACACCACACTTGTCTGTCCCTAGTCCCTAGCCACCTTCTCTTATTTTGACATTAATTAATACATTTGATGGTAATAAACTACATGTATTATAGTGCTTTTTCACGATCGAAATGTTCAATGAATGTCGACAACGTAGTTCCATTATTGACCCTTTCATCTCCTCTCTT